TTTAAACTAGAGAACAATTTATAACTTCTTAATAACTGAATTTGATTAATTTATATTTAGAGTGAGGGATTTCCTCCACACATGTGCAGTGGTATAATTATTTTTAAGGTGTGTGACGGAGTATTAATAAATTTAATACAAATTGTGAAATCAGAACGTAAAAGTGAGTTTTTTAATAATAATTTATTTAATTGTATCTAACATTATTTTTTAAAATACTGTCAAAATTTATTTTTCATAATAAATAATTCCAATTAGCACATAAGCTTGCAACCTTTGTTGCTCATTGTTTTTGTTACTTGTCGCAAGTAACAAAATGTTCTATTGCTGCAAGTATGCTACAAGTTTATGTGCTGATTGGGATAACTAACAAAACCTTTTTCATATTTTTCATTTAATTTTCACTAAAATTAAAGGTGATAATAATATTTTATTTGTTATTATTTATTTTATTAATATAATTTTAAACAATTAAAAATATCAAGCAGCGTAATTAATAAACACTTTAAGGTCAACCTACTGAAAATCGTCTGGGAATGGTTGATCATATATTTTTAATAAATTTAGTTTTAATATATTATACGAAAATCGATGAATTTTTGAGTTCATTAGGGTGAAGTGTCCTAAGAGTACGCACTTAATTTTCTTTTTGGAATTACTTTTAAACATTAAAGTAAAAATTCACAAATAAATGACCATATTATAGTGAAAATAATTATTTTGACCAATTATTTACGAAAAAATAGGGTAATTTTTGTTCACATTTGCAAAAATTGACTTTATTTTGTTAATTTTCGGTGAGCCAGCACAAAAATTTTTTTTTTCATTGCTTCTGTTTTAATGTAAAAAATAATAAAATATTTTTGTTGGTAAAAATTTTTTTTCTTTTCTTTAGGAATGTATCTTTCAAGCAAATAAAAATTTAGCTTTTTCCATATAATATCTTCGGAAAAGAAATTATTATTGAAAACGTGCTTTTTTAAAGAAACTCACATTGGGATCCTCACTTAACTATTATTTTTTTGCATTTAAAATTTTTTTTAAAGTCGCTTTTTTGTCCATAACTTTAAAAAAATGTTAGAACACCTATAAATATTTTCTTTAATTTTAAGACGCATCTTTTGAGCTATTAGCAAACATTCTACTTATATTCTATTCAAAGTTATTGAATTTTTAAATATTAGAAAAAACTGTTTTTTGCCCCTAACTTAAAAAAAGTATGACACCAATAGATTTTTATCTCTATCCTAATATCACTTAATATTTGTACAGTGTTGCTGCAATATTGCAGCCTTTATGCGCAAAGGTCTCGTAATACTAAATAAGTTACCTTAAATTGATCACAAAAAGTCTCTGTGAGGAAGCAAAGTTTTCATGAAATGAATACAAAAAGTTCATACTTCAACTTGGCAGCGGTTTTTATATTACATTAAGGGTACTTTCTGGTTTAGAACTCAAAAAAATCAATTTTTTTGCTTGGAAATGTTCCTTAGTATGATAAAATTTGTCCCAAAACGTTTTTTAAAAAATATGTAAAAAAAAATATGTCTAACATTGGGAGCCAGTCGTTCCAATATTGGTGCAATGATGGCACCCAATATTAGACCACGAATGGTAAAGTCTTGGGATGATCACGCCGTTGCCAATCATTGGTAGCCAATATTGTTCCATCATTGGCTACCAAGGCAAAAAACGAATTCTCAGAAGCTTGGTTATTAATTGGCTACAAAGATTGGGCCATTATTGGAAGCCAATCATTGGTTATCAACAATGGACCAATCTTAGTAGCCAATTATTATTAACCAAGCATTTGAATATTCGTTATATGTCTTGGCAGCTAATGAAAAAACAATATTTGAGACCTAATAATGGTAATATCATCCCAAAATTTAATAAAACGTGGTCCACTATTGGCAGCCAATAGTTCGACAAGAAAAGGATACAAAAATTTAATTCAATTCATTTCACATATGGAGATAATTAAAATATCTCCTGCCACCAAAAAAAGTCAAAGTGTGAAAAAAATTGAATTCTGATTTCAACAACAAAGAAATCTGTTCTTATATAGTGTGAGGGTCATTCATAAAGAATATGTTTAATACAAACCATATATATCAATGCCTCCACTAAAAAAATGGTGCTTATTCCGTTTTTATAATAAAATATAATTCTAAGTGCAAGTTTAGAAATTATTAGTTCTTCTCAGCTTATAATTTTGAATTTTTTTTTTATATTATTAAAATTTAAATATTGTCTTGTATCATTATTATTGTTTTATTAAAAATCTTGTCATAAGATTTATAAGATAGGTTATGAAGTTTATATTTGTTTATCATACATACAAAAATTATGAAATAAATTATTTTTGAATTCATACATCCACAAAACTTGAAGTAAAAATAAGCATAATTTATATTTAGTGCAGTTATTAAAAACTAGTTTTTGAAAAAGCATTAAAAAATTAAGTTAAATTTTATAAAATAAAATTGTCACGTATTAAATTAATTATAATAAATAAATAAAAATTAAATTAGACAGTAAAGTTTAAATAGTTAGGAGCCTGAGTAAAAGAAGTAGTGACTTAAAATTTTAACATTGTGGGTATATGTAAGAACTCACTTATATTTAAATTTTGGTAAAGTTTTCTAAAGTAATTTCTAAGCAAATTGAATTAAGATACATTGTATAGATTAGAGATTAAAAGAGATAGAGAAAAGGTTATTCAAAGCGAAAGACATCTTGTTAATAAGAATAGAGATATAAAGCGATATAAGGATATTGACTGGATATTGAAAGTGATAAAGAAAAGGATATTAAAAGCGAAAGACATCTTGTTGATGAGAATGGAGATAGAAAGCGATAGATGGGTAAAGACTAGATATTGAAAGAGATAGAGAAAAGGATATTAAAAGCGAAAAACATTTTGTTGTTTAGAATGGAGATAGAAAGCGGTAGATGGGTAAAGACTGGATATTGAAAGGGATAGAGAAGGGATTATTAAAAACGAAAAACATCAAGTTGATTAGAATAGAGATAGAAGGCAATAGAAGATTATAGACCAGAGATTAAAAGTTATACAATTTTTCTATCACTTTCTATCTCAGAGATAAAAAGATATAAAAAGAGATCAGTTTTCTATCTCTTTACTTCCAGCAGAATTAATAACCAAACTTTTGAGAATTCGTTTTTTGCCTTGGTAGCCAATGATGGAACAATATTGGCTACCAATGATTGGCAACGGCGTGATCATCCCAAGACTTTACCATTCGTGGTCTAATATTGGGTGCCAATAGTTTTACCAAGAAAAAAAGATTGGCTGCCAACCGTGGACCAATATTGAACCAATCGTACACTGAAAGAAATTTCATAGGAAAAAATAACAAAATGCGTATTACATTTTAATATATTCTTTTAGAATTTAGGGAAAAGTGTACTTTTTATTAAAATTCAATATACTTTATATTAAAGTTCCAACTTAAAATCTTTTTTCAAATATTAATAATTATTGTAGAAAGAACGTAAAAAGATTACCAATATTTGAAAATATTATATTAAATTTCTATAGAAGAACTATAAACTTTGAAAAACTCATAGAGTTGTTGCATTATATGGAATGTAGCGTTCTAATATTTGTAAAACTTTATACGAAAAATTCAGAATGTCGGAAGAAAAGGGAAAAAAAGCGGAAACTGTCGGACGTTTCCGTTAATTCTCGGGAGGAAGAGGAGTGAGACTAGGAACAACACATTCACACTTACGATACAGGTTAATACACATACTAATGAACACGCACGTTCATTTCGCTTATACATAGACATTACACGATCGCAACGAAACCTACACTTACAATTCTATACGCATAACGATAAATTTCGCTGGGGGTCGGCATATATCGTTTTCTTATATACTAACTACTGAATATTTTTACCACTTGCGAGAAAGAAGTTTACTTATAATAACTTAATAATAAAAAATAGTTTACTAGTGCCAATGGTGTAATTTTATAGAGGTTACGCTGGGTTCATTTTTATTATTAATTGTTTATATAGATTTTTCTTTTTTTTCAGATTAAAAATTATGATGGTTATAAAAATTTTTATTGCAAATAAAAATTAAATAATTGTAAAGATGACATCAAAAAATAAAAATTAATAAAAATAATAATAAATTTAATAATTAATAATAAATTTATTATTATTAAATAACTTTAATAAAACATTTTTTATAAATTGAAAATAAATTAGATACGTTCTGCTGGTTAACAACACTTTTGAAAATCGGATCAAGTCGTAGAAGTTCGAGTAGGACACGAAGCCGCAAACAGACAGAACTTCGGTTAAATTCGTAGTCTCTCGGGAAAATCCGTGACTTTTAATATAAAGTTTTACAAAATGTGAAATAAGTATACGGATATATGTTATTTTTCTTACTATTTTGTGAAATTATTTATTATAATATTTCGTATTCTGTGAATTCATAAAGAAAATACTAATTTTTAAAATAAATATACTAATTCTTATTTCTTAAAATAATATTTACTCTTAAAATCATTATATATTTTCATAAAAACTGTAATAGTAATCAACATAGGTGCACTTTTTCCCTAAATTGTAACATTTATATTAAACTCTAATATGAGTTTAATACTTAGTAGTATGAATTTTCTTTCAGTGTAAGCATTGTCAAATTTCCCATTGGGTGGTGCACGGCTTTTCTCGAAATAAAAAAAACTTTATTTTTATTCAAAAATGATGGGTTTAAGCAAAAAAAATTATGTCCTGAATTAAAACATGATAAGCCTTTTATTTCGACTAATTCGACTGGACTATATGAAATTATTTCATTAAAAAAAAATAAACAGGAATATTCATGACTACATTTCTCTACTAATACAAACACGTTGGTCGTACTATTCATAGTTTTCATATACTTGTTCATATCGTAGTTTCATGATCACATGTGTCATTAAATTCTTTAATTACACAATTTGTGGCATAAAGTTTCAGTTTTAACATTTTGCAAAGTCTCAGTCACATATGGTTGCACCTAAGACTTTTACGTTTTTGGGTAATAAACATTTTTATTTCCATATAATGTACACATATATGAGTCAATTTACGTGTAATGTCCCAACCTTAAAACTCAATTTCTTGAAACATAAAATTAAAGTTTTAACAAATTGTTCGCTTATCTGGTAGCTATTAAATACTGAAAAAAGGTTGATTGAATTAAGTAATTGGATTTACTTGATATACTTTTTGAATTAAGCCGATATTTTCTTATTCGAAGAAATTTATTTTCATGTCAAAAGTAATTTTGAGCATCGGTCAAAATTCTTGAAACAAGAAAATATGGGTTTCGTTTACTATTTCAAACAAATTGTTTTACTTTTGCCAAGTCCCAAAATGTATTGAATCAACATCAAGAATATTATTGTTAAGTAATGTACGTGGTGTATTTTTGTTTCTTGAATCAATTCATTTTTTGGTTTCCTTTAAAACATCAGAGTGGTCCTGTTCACTTTTGAAACCTCTGCCACTTCTAAACTTCTCAGTAGATTTATTAAATTTTTTTTTAATATTCTGTAAACCTTGAAAAATAAGTGTCCATATTTTAAGTATCTTACTAAAAACTTTAAATATAAAAAGAATAATATTTCAAAAAACGAAAAAATATGTTTTGTAAAAAATTGTTATTATTTTAATTTTTAATACTTTTAGCCAGAATTTTAGTTTTGCCTTCTCGAATAGTCGAATAATAAGATAAAATTTAGTGCTTATATAATTATTACTATTATAATATAGTAATTACAGTTTTCTGAACGGGGAAAATTTCTACCGTGTTATTATGATTCCCGGTCATATTATTATAGAACCTGGAACTATTATTCATGGATTATAATAATATTACGTGCTACTCGGGTGAGATTCTATAGTTAAAATTAAATTGAATATTTTTATCAAAATCGATACTTTTAATTTTAAAATAAATTATTGCAAACCAAAGCTGAGATTTTTTCTTATTTGTCCACCAATTTACAGAATACAATTATTTTTGTTTTAGAGATATTTTTAAATAAATTTAATAAATTTTAGTTTTTTTTAAAAAGTAAAAAGTTTCTTTTGGATTATATTACCACCAGATAAGATAACAAATTCTTAAAGTTTCACTTTGTTTCGAAACATTGAGTTTTCAAATTGGAACATTATATTTAAAATGGCTCATATATTATATTACAGTTTTACTTGCAAAAATAATAAAAACTTTATTAAAAAACAATTGTATATTTTTAGTAACACAACTGACGTTAGTTTCCATAGTGTTAACAATTGGATTTTCTTTTGACCCTACAATGGAATTTGATAAAATTGCAAGTGTATATGATGAAGTATGTTTGTCGTCTCGTAAATTTTCTACCATTTTACACAAGGTAAATAAATTTATCGTTTATTATAATAAATAATTGAAAAAGTACATTTTTCTTCATCTTAAATTAGACTCTAACTTCAGAGACGAAGGAAAATGTCATTAATTCACCATTTGGTTTGCACATTATTTTATCTTTGCTGTCGTATGGAGCCAAAAATGAAACAGCAGACGCTTTAAAATCGAGACTTTATCATCCAAAAACAAATTTAGAAAATGGATTTAAAGGTCTTAAATCTCTATTTAGTGTAAGTTATCATTCTCTATCTTTGTGCTACTTAAAATTTCAAACAAAATGTCTTTAATACTAAACTACATTTTTTTATATCATTTTTCAAAATTTGTTTGCCAATTTTGCAGGAAGTAAAAGATGTAGACTTAAATGTCGCAAACACAATTTATGTTCAAGATGATTTACACTTAAATCATGAATTTGTAACTCTAAGTGCTGAGATATTTGGAGCTGGCGTTATACAAGTTGATTTTAAACAACCTTTAAATGCTGTAAAACAAATCAATTCGTGGATCGTTGAAAAAACTAAAAACAAGATAAAAGACGTGTTAACAATAGGTAGTTACAATTTAATAAGAAAATAACAGTAAAATTATGCAAAAATTTCTTAATAAAAATATAACACTTTTTTATACAGGTGATATAAACGACGAAACTCGCCTTTTTATGATAAATGCTGTGTATTTTAAAAGTTCATGGAAAAATAAATTTGATCTTAAATTGACTACGCAGCAGGATTTTTATAAAGAGAACAACAAAGTTAAACAAGTATATATGATGTTTAAAAGTGCACATTTCTCCCACGGGGTTTTGGAAGATTTGAATGCAAAATTTATAGAAATTCCTTACCAGGTAAAAAATATAAAAATTATGTAATTATAAAAAATAATACTGTTTAGGTATTTATTATAATGACAAGGTTGTTGTTTGTTTTACCCTCAATGTAAATATTTTTAATTTCTTTCATTTTTGGCTTGAGGGTCCAAAAAAAGAAGAACAATTGATTTTTGGTTAATTCAAACGTTTCGGTATCGTATGTGTGCCTTCAGCAGTGAAATTTATTATCTGTAATCAGTTCCAATGTACTTTATAATATTGTTTTACATTCAAGAGAACATTTTGTTGATAATATAATAATTTTATCGATCTTATAAAATTACAAAATAATGAAATTAGAAGCATAATACCATTCTACAGTTTTATTAAGATTCTATTAATAAAACTACTCAAGAAGAACAATTATAAAATAATTTTTAATAAGTTTAAAATAATTCTATTTTTTTTGTATTTTGTTGTGTCAAGTAAGACGTAGTGTTTTATATATCCAAAGAGTATTGTTAATCTTACAATGATACATACAAATTTATATTTATGAGAATATGTTAAGTTACAATTAATCCGATTAATTCAAGTGAGGTTGACACCATAATGTCTCTCACAAAGCAACACAAATTTTTCCAGAAAGTTGAGTAAAAATACTCATTTTTAACGTAAAAAAGCATATTTTTACGAATTTTTGTCTAATAGATGAAATGAAATATTTTATTCAAACAGTATATCACGTAGTGTCAGTCATGTCTTCTAATTCCTTGATAACTTTTCCACGGTGTAAATCATTACTCTTACAATATTTTGTTTTATATGTTTAATCATTTATATGGTTTCCTGCCCTTGTTAATTGCTTAACAACATCGCGTTAAATTCACGAAAGTATAATCTAATAACATTACTTTTATTATGAGAATCGGGACTGACGCTGACACGATTTCCCGAACTTCTTCATGGGAGTGACTCAGGTTTATCGGTACCTCTACTTGTGGATTAATACTGGATGTGGAGATCGAATGATTATCATTTGACTCCGGACGCTTACATGAATTTTCATCCACCCTATGATCGATTGGACCTCGATCACTGGACTTTGTTAATAAATCATTCGACGTTTCATTTGTCAACGTCGAATCTGAACTACATTTCTTCTCTAGACGTTGCTCTCAATGACTCAAATGTCTTCAGTAAGCCTTCTCTCCATACTTACGAATCATTTGTTCTTGATGCACTCTACGCTTCTGGGACAATCCTTGAGAACAACTCCTTTTCAACCACAATTGAGGCACCCAATCGAACAACCGTTCGCGAGCTCGGGCCGGACGCTCGGAAGCCAGTCAGCGTACGAAAATGTCAATAAAATTGAAATTCAAAATTTTAATTTTTTAAATATATGGGCAAATCTAAAAAACAGGTAACTTTCGTGTGACTTGGGCTTATTTTTAATGGTACACATTATATTAACCCAGTTGCTTGTGAATTACATATATTTACTGATACTTGAATGATACGAAACAGTTTTTAAGTGATTTAGTAAATAACTTAAATGTTATATGAATGTAAATGCCAGAAAACAACAAAAAATTAAAAATTTGTGTGTGACTTATCAGATATGTAAAATGAAATGTAGAATAACTTTTGAAGCACTCCATATAAATATTTGAAATTTTACATGCTATTTGTATTTATAATAACATTTCAATTATACTATGTAAGTAAATTGTGCAGTCAAAAATATCAAAATGATAAGGAATCGAAAAGATGTGACTTTACTTTCCATTATTTTGAAAAGTTTCAGCTTTTCGCTTGTAGTTTTTGAAGCACTTATTTAAAAAACATTTCGAAGTATGCATTGAATTCTTCAAATAATTACGAATAAATCGGTACATTAACAAAAGTTGTGCTTTTAAAATAAACTTACATTTAAAGGTAAAATAATCTGCTACATACAGCGTAAACCTTTTTCCAACGACACTTTAATTAAAGGCACACTTACAAAATAAGTCAAAACCGCCTAAATCTTTTTGTAATTATCATTTTACTTATTTTTACATATATATGTAAAATGCTTCAAAAAAATCTTTATTAGAAATGTATAAAAACGTGATTTACTGCATCGTGTGATTTTTCACATATGCAATTTGAAGTTTACGCAAGGTTATTTTTTAAAAATTAGTCAAATTCTATGTTTTTTTTTTAATAACGATGTTCAGACGAGTTGTCTATTGTAACCTGTTCACAAACGTCAAAAATCAAGAAAACACAATGTCTGCAGGTAATTTAATACTCTTTTTATATTTTTACAAAAATAGAGCTTTTCTAGAATAGTATTTACTTACTAAAATTTTTTAAAAAGAATCAAAATACACTTGAAGAAAATAGAGACAAAAAGAAGAATACGGGTGCAATAACTCGTAAGCATGGTTATAACACAAGGTAAAAAATTTGAGGTTAATTTTTATAAATGTTTGTTTATGTTTTTAGTTCATAATTTGTTAATAAATAATAATAATAATAATATAAATCAAATTTTGATGATTTTTTTATTTAATATAAGCAGTTTGTGATATCTCTTGATATCTCGAAATATATAGCCGTGACGTAACAAATGCAGAAGTTTATTTTCGGTCTAACTTTTGAAGCACTTTATGAAAATGAATTACATTTATATTTTCTGATTTATTGAACGATTATGAGTAAAATGATATAAAAACCACATGTGTGCTTACAAATTTAAAAATTTTACTTTTTTTTGTCGAAGTGTGCATGTTTTTTAGATTTGCCCATATTACCTTATAGAAAATTAAAATGCGCATCTTTTTTTCCTTTAACTTTTTTTGCATCTTTTTTTCTTAATAAGAAATTTTCCATCTTTTTCCGTTTTCGAAATATAAGAGAAAAACTGGTTTTTAAAAAAAGAAAATTCTCATTGTTTTTTTGACTTCAACTCGTGACAGCTTAGACAATTTTACGAATTTCTTAATGAAACAAAAACGAAAATACGTGTTATTATATTCTACGAGTGACTAAAAAAAGAAAAAAGTTGTTTTGATTAAAAATAAAAAAGTTATTAATTTTTTAATGAGACATTGCAAAATTCATGAACTGCAATTTTCACCCTGTAAGGAATTTTCGTAAATTTTCACCAGCAACAAACTTCCAGTGAGAAAGTTGTTCATTAAGGTCCAAAGAAGTTTTCTGGAAAGTTACAATGCAATTGAACAATTAATAACAAAATGGTGAATGTTTAAACTTTAAAGTTGCGCGAGCGGCTGAACGTTTGGCGTGCGTTTGCTACGTAATAACTTAATTTCTTATTAAGAAAAAAGATGCAAAAAAAAGTTAAAGGAAAAAAAGATGCGGCTTTTAATTTTTTATAAGGTAATATATTTAAAAAATTAAAATTTTTAATTTCAATTTTATTGACATTTTCGTACGCTGACTGGCTTCCGAGCGTCCGGCCCGAGCTCGCGACCGGTTGTTCGATTGGGTGCCTCAATTGACACAAAATACACCCCATGGTTATGGACAACGTCTAGCATTATGGTCCTTCCTCTAGAAATTATGACCCTTGCCTGGAGGAGGATCAACTATCACATCAGTTTTGAGGCCGTTGATTGTTTTGGCACTGACTCAGGTTCCAGAGAACTCGACACAACACAATCCCAGGACTGGATAGGATTCTTATTTCTATATTCCTTTGCTCGACCCAATTTATCTATCAAATTCTTCAGGACTAACTCTGAATTCGATTTCTCGTCGGTCGCTTCCTCTAATCTGTTCACAGCTTAACGACTTTTCCGCTCTTCCATACTCTCGTTCGCTCGTCGTTCCACATTCGATGACTCTGACTTATCTTCCTTAGGCTTAAGAGAATGCTTCTTCGATTTAGATCTCTTCGGTGAAGGCGCTCACTTAACAATTGCTCTTAAACTTGTCGATGGACCTAAAACTTCAACCGTGACTTCCTGGACATTGACGTGTGACAGCTAAGGGACTTCTGAAATCGATGCCAACTCGATGTTAGGGACAACGGACATTACATTTTTTTGCTCTCTCCGAGCTCTTACTTTGTCTAACATTCTGATAGCCTACTCATGAACTTGACCAAATTCGTCAAGTCTCTGGACCTACAACAACGGCGGCAGAAATTCGGTCGATTTCCGACGGGACGGCGAGACTAGTCCGAAACTTCCTCACTGACGGGCTATGCTCCCCTTTCTCACCTTCTTTTCAGATAATTGCACCTTCAAAGGATCATGATGCACACCGTGAACCGTAGACTTGACTCTACTGGACCTGAACGCTGAAAGATGAAATGGCATCGACCAATCTGAAAACAATAATCATGTGTAACAAGAAAATTTTGGATTGCCTACCTCGAGAGGAAATGTAGCCTTTAAGATGCGTAATATGAACTTTCGAAACTCAATGATTACCGTCCTCTTTTAACAAATAAGTAATATCCGACCGTTTTTCACCAATTTCGTATGGGCCCTCATATTTCGACGCTAATTTACAAGATAACTTCTGGGCTGCACTTGATAATTTATGAATCAACCGCCAGACTATATCATCAACACTAAAAGACGCTTCTTTTCTACCACGATTATGATACTTAGTTTGTTTCTCTCGCTGTGTATCTATAAATCGGGCAACAAGATGACGCAGTACATTCAACTGCTTTATTCTATCAATCCGTAATTTAGGATCAACACGCTGAACGCAAACTCTTCACTTGTTGTGGCTGACGTCCATAATTTAGAAACGCCAAAAACACTTTTGTTTATGACCTAATAACAGTGTTGACTGCATGTTGGAACTCATGAATGTGTTTATCCCAATCTCTATAATTCGCACCAATAAAAGTCGATATCATTATCTTGAAAACACGATTCGTTCTTTCCACAAGGTTTGTCTGGGGGTGGTAGGGTGCGGTTGGCAGGTGTCGGAAACCACACTCTTCAAGAATATTTTTCAGGAACATATTGTTAAATTTTTGCCTATTGTCGGTAAACAAGAATTTCGGAGTGTCCCACCTGAACAACACTAACTCTTCAAAGATTGGCGCGATTGCTTTTCCGTCTGCATTTCGAAGAGGTTTCAATTCGATCCAATGAGAGAACAATTCTTAACACACGACCAAATACTTGTTCTGAATCTTGCTTGGCGGAAACCACCAGCACCGGCGCGGATAGTTCCCGTATTATCATTCTTGACCGGGCCGGTACTGGACCACCGGAAATGCCGGTATAAAAACGGTATTGAATGTTGGTACCGGGCTGGTTGTTTTTTTAGTAACCGGCTATGTACCCCAGTCGTCCGGACAAATGCGACTGCTCATAATTTTAAAATCGTCCTGTAGACGCAGTACATTGTAAGATTAGTAGATATAAAATTTTTACGAAGAAAAACATTTGTAAAGCGAATTTATTCTAAAAGAGAAGAGTATAATTAAATAAATAAAAAAAATTTAACATTACAGAATGAAGATTTTGCAATGCAAATAATTTTACCAAATGAGGTTGATGGTTTGCAGTCAATAGAGGAAAATTTCCACTGGGATCAAATATTGAATGCTCATCTGCGCAAATCTGAAGTGGAATTGTATTTACCAAAATTTAAATTAGAAATGAAAATAACTCTCCAAGAAACATTAAAAAAGGTAAGTTCATAATGCAAAAGTTAATTTTTTTATTAAAATGACACATGATTTAAAACAATTAAAAAAATATAAAAACTAATTATTTTTAATATTAAAGTCTCTTAAATGTTTCAAAGCATTTTGTATAATTTATCAATAATTTTCTCAAGGATCAATATTTTTTCAATATTTCAATATTTTTTTCATGATAATTGGCTTGACACAATAACCATTCATGTTTTTTACATTATTTTTTACCCAAAGAATAACATATTTTTTGGCACCCTCTTGAATGTAGTTTTTTACTTTTTGGCTCATTATTAAACATTTTTAACGAATAAACGGGAGTGAAGGGTGAAATTTTAACTCATCGAAATTAATGTTTCCTGATTGTAGTGAACAAATGAAAAATAGAAACAAATATTAATACTTTTATTTCTAAACACAAAAAATAACTTCATATATAATAACATTTCACAAATATTAAAAATATTACATTTTATAAATTTCATCATTATAAAAAATCGACATGAACATTATATTATGAGGTTGCCACGTGGAAAGATTCTTAGGAAATTCCCAGGAGCACTTTCCTAGGAATCTTTCCATATGGGGTATAAACATTTTCAGAATGTAAATCTTATCCCAATGGGTTTCGAATTCTTCTATTTCAAGGTAAATATGTCTGCAGTGAAAAATATTTTTTACCTTTCCAAAAAGAGGACCATTTTCCAAAATTATTCTACTTACAATCACTGTTACCGAGAAAATTTAATTGACAAGTATTTCGATTTTTTTTAAAGTTATACAGCCCACACACTGTTCACCGGAAAGGTGTTTTATAAAAATTGCCAGGTATCTCCGATTTTCATTTTGTAAATGGTAGTTCGAGGTGCCCGGAAGTCAGTCCAAATGTTTTTAAAATCGAAAACAAATGCCCCACCCCTCAAAACAGCAAAAAACCAAAAAAAAAATTTTTAAATCAAATATTACGTCAAGAGAAAATAGCTTATACCTACTTATTTATTGATTGGTACCTCTGATTTCTTTTTCTAATTGGTTCTTCAGGATAGTAAGAAGTTAATGTAATAGTTTTTGGAATACCAATGAGTTTTCAACGATTAAGAATTCATTTATGCAGTATTCCTACTTGCTTACTAATGTTTTTTACTCCTGACATAATTTAGAATAATGTATGAAAAAATTTGACAATTTTACAACCTAATCTTTAAGGTCTTAGATTTAATTTGAGCCTCCTCGCTGCTGGGTTGTAGAAAAACATGCTCGAAAATTTTTTAACATCCCAGATAGCACAACAATTTGCCACAATTTTTCAGCAAGTTGGCAATGCCAAATTGCAAGTTTGCATTGCCAACTTGCTGCGAAACTGTGGTAAATATCGATATGTCCACCCTTTTTAAACTTTGCAGTGCAAACTTGCTGCAAAATCGCTGCAAAAAAGCTGAATGAGTTTTCCGCAGAATTTCAAAAACAATTTGCTGAAAAATGACACGTAAAATTTTCTGAAATTTGAAAATGCAATTTTTTGGAAAATAAAATTTTTAAGTTTCCTTGAAAGTTTTTTTTAATTTCTTTACTATAAAGATAATTAAATCGTAGGAAAAGAAGGGAGTAAAAAGAAAACAATTTTTTTAGAAATAACGCTATTTGCCACAGTCTTGCATCAAGTTGGCAATGCTATGATAATCAAGTCGTATGAGATTCGCTATATTTTGCCTGTAATCTACACGCCCAAATACATATGTTTACCAAATTTCAGCCCACTAGATACATTCGTTTGGTCGCTAGGGGAGGGAGTACATGCCTTGCTTCACTAGTCTCATTAATAGGGTTCTCCCTGTTGAAAATTCCGACCTCGTTTACGACGTCGTATTCTAAGTAGTTTGCGACGTAGTAAACGACGTCGTAAATGAAAGCGGAATTTGGGATAGCAAATGACTTCGTTTACTACGTCGTTTACTTAATACTTAATAATTCGTTAATTACTTATTTTTAACGAAAATTTGACAAAAAAAAATTTGTGGCCAAAAAAAATATTATGATAAAGAAAATAATTTTTTTGTTAAATTTTCGTACCAATGAAATTACTTCGACATGATGTTTTATTATTATTATTATTATTATGAATGAAACTCTATAATTGATTTTACATATAGTACGCATAAACGAAAGAAAAATTAATCAATATAAATATCATTTTAGTTTTTGATAAAAATAATTAATGAAAAATTTATTTCCAATTTTTAATTTTATTACTTTTTAATTATTAGTTCAAATTCCTTTTACCTTTATTTAAGTTTTTTGTGGTTATGTAGGTTTAAATTTTTTTTTATCTACTATCGGATCAAATATTAACGTCCACGTCAAACTTACCTTATATTTAGAAATAAAATGAAATTTAACTTATAATTATTTACACTTCTTACACTTATAACAATTCGAAACTTTGAATCCCTTTTAATATGTGTACATAATATTATTAAATAATACTACTGCGCATGAGCAGTACCAAAATTCGAACACGAAACTGTTGCTTCGAGTGGTTAAGACCACTCGTTGTATTTCACTCGAATCGTTTCGTCTACGAACGCCTAGTGAACAGTTCGAGAATACAATTTTCGACAAAGTTATTCGAAAGTCTTCGATTCGTGCACGGAACTCATTTCGAGAATAGCACCCCAGGGAGGGTGAACATCATAACTGTTTCTCGCAGTTGAGGTGCCATTAGATTGGTATATAAGCAGTGATCGAAAATTTTTTTCTTGTCGAAATTTTTTTCTGCCCGATGTCTCTCCTATTTTTTGGATTTGAGACAAATTCTTTTTTGGAAGAAATGATTTCCCTAATACTTTGATGACCATTTTTTTATTTTAATGTAATTATTAAAAATAAAATAATAATAACTATTAAAAAATAATAAAATGATGGTTGCCATTAATACGCCTATGGTATTTTTCCCATTGGGTACTTACTAAATTACTAAATAAATAATATCAAAATAATTATTGCAACATCGTATACGACGTCGTAAACGAGGTCGGAATTTTCAACAGGGTCTCCCTTCGGGTACGGAACCCTAAAAAAGACCGAACTTGAACAAAAAGTCAAAAGAATTTTTGATTCTCAAAAAGGGTCAAATTTTGAATTTTTTTGAAAAAAATTTTGCACTATTCGAAAGAGCAGGAAGGAACCTTTCGAAAACATATAGGTCAAATTTTTTTTCTTTCTGTTTAAAAGTTTCAAGTCTTCAAAAATTCACTGCTTAAATTTTTCAAAAAAATTCAACCCTCTCCCTCTTCGAAGGTTTTTTAAAAAAACATAACAATACTTCGCGTTTAAAGTACTCACCCCTAATGCTGAACTATGTGCAAGTTACAGCCCGATGCGATCGTTCACTTTTTCACTTAGTACGCTACAGGAATTTTACCCCAAAAATCAATATATATAAATCACTGTATTTTTGTTTCACGCAAAAACATATTTCTTTAATTTTTACTGGTCTATACTGTCTTTTCTCGGGGGGAGGGGGCATGAGTTTTTAATTCCAAAAAATATTACAATAACTTCTTAGTGTCCTGAAGAACCATTTAAAAAAATCAGAGGTAAGTAGTAGGGCTATACCAGTTCTAAAACACAGGTAATGTAGGAATCTACCTTACCGACATATGGTAACTCTACTTTACCCTTGGTCGATGTTAACGACCGATGTCGTGAAATGGCGCTGTTGCTCGCGGGAATTTTTGAAATTTGTAACCCTCTTGGTTACCCACCACCCCCTAATTTGCATATATCTTTTTTTAAATATTGCCACCCACTTTCCACCCTCTTGGCCACCCACCACCCCCTAATTTGCATATGTGTTTCCTATGTATTAACATATACGGTCCCAAAAATTTAAAAATCATAATTAGAACCTCGAGGTTCGGAGTGGGTGGTGCACAGTTGATGACTCAAAAGTGAAAGGTGCGCGGCACCGGGCCCGTTGGTAGTCCATGCGTCAAGTGGGGATGGAGTTCAGTGGTGGGATGTTGTGAATGGTGGGGACTACATGTACCTCAGTCGATTCCCGTGGCAAGGAAAGTCATTCTGTTCCAGCTTCCAGAATTAGCAGCATCAGACCTCCGACACTAGCCATATATCTACAGCAATCCTCTTCAGAGGTCTCATTCCGGTATAAAACTTTATTAAAGAAACAGTACCAAGAGCATCAGTGTAAGTTATTCTTATTTTTATATTCATATGTATAAATTATATGCAATTAATCATAATCCTTTTTTTCTGTTTTAGATTCAAGAATACCAAGTCAATCTTCCCACGAAAGACAAACATTCATTTGCATTGCCAAATTTTATAGCAGCATCGTAAGTTTACTCAAATTATATATCTTTGCATACATTTCCCTTAATATTCATCAAATTGATTGTAATTCTATTTCTGTTTCAGATATACTAAAAGTAGCAGAGTGAAGCTTCGCAACATCATCTTTGGCAGACATTTTTAAAAGCATTTGTCATCGAGCACTACCCCCCACCTCACCCTTTCACCTCCACTTCTTCCTTTCCAACTTATTCCAGATTCTTTTGATATGTTTTTCAGATTTTTAGGTTATTTTTAACGTTTTTTTAGCATTCTTTTTAGCGTTCTTTTCAGTGTTATCTTCAGCGTTCTTTTCAGATTTTTTCAGCTTTTTCCTCATTTAATCCTTTTCAGAATTTAAAAAAATGGCTAACCGTAGAAATATCGAAACATCTAAACCATACACCTCTATTGATAGTTTCAATGAGATTTTTGAAGCCTAAGACAATTTCATTAATGCTGCCAATATAGAATATAAAGTTACCCTAAAAAGAACATTTTTATAGTACATTGAATGATTCAAATATATAAGATCAAGAATATTTACATGCTCAGCAAGTATGGTCAGAATTCAATTCTAAATTCTTAGTGATTATGTTTATTTATATATGAAAACTGACATCTTGCTGCTTGCTGATGTATTT